TTGTTTCAATAACGGTTTGCGCAAACCGACAAGAGGTCATTGGCGTACATTTTATTCTGGTCATAATAAAAACAAATGCGAAACGTGCTCATGAATAAAAGCTCGGCTCCTATAGAGTCCGAAACTAGTTGGGCCACCCCGAACTTGAGTGAAGCTGATATAAGTAATTAAAATAAACAGTTTATTATACGACGCCTCATCGACAGGTAAATTAAATTGTGATATGGAACCCTACAGACTAATAACGATGACGTGGAAAACTATGACGACACAGGTGTGACAACTTCAACGCTTGAATAAGAAATAGAGATAACGAACAAGATAAAAAGATGACCTTTGATTAACATTAAAATATTTTACAGGCTAATTACAAACTCTATTACTTACTTCGAGGACAAAATTCTCATTTAGGCTGAAACTTTTTCTATATTAAATCAAGATTGAAGATCATATTAATTAGTATCTTTATAAATGTTAGTCTGATTTAGATGATATTTTTTTGCAATCGACAATATATACTTCTAGAATTGTATTATATGTGTTTTTAATAAAATTTAAATCATTTTTGAAGCAAAAGCTGTACAGAATAAAAAAATAAATAAAAAAAATTATGCAGAGGGACCCTTTAATAAACTTCGTAATAAAATTTTATTAAAAATTAATATAACGCAAGTATTTAAATTTCAACTGAACAATGACCTATCTAAAAGCTCATTTTAGTTCCTATGAATTTTTTATCTTCTAATAACATATATATGTATGTATATCAATAATTATTAGTACCGCATTCGAATATTCTGACACTTCCCTATGGTTGATTGGGAGAGAATGCTTTTAGCATTAAGTCCGCCATGTACACATATTTGTACTAATAAATAAATAAATAAATAAACATATACTTTTTTACATTAATGAAATAAAAAAATTACCTTTAAAGTGCCTTTTAGTCAACTGTATAAATAAATTAATAAAATATATTCCAAAAACTTTGGTAAAAAGAAAATTGCACTACAATTTGCTATGCTAAGGGATTAAGGGATTTTTAGGGATTTGTTTCCAGATTTTGAATTCGCTCTCATATAATTACTTATAAACTGCTGTATTTATAATCCAAAAATTTGCCGGCATAAATACCACGTAGAAACACATTGGATGCCTAACATATCGTCTCCTATCCTAACACATCGAGAAATGCAAGGTAAAATGTATCAACCAATGATTATGGTCTAGTTTTGTACCACATTTAATTGAAATTTGATGAACACAACTTTCCCTGATTTTTTAATTTATTTTTAATAGTTCACAGTCGCTATTTTTATTTGATACTGTTGTAATGTAACTATCCACTTCTATAATTAAAACGAATCTAATGACATCTCATTTATTTAAATCCATCAAGCAAAGTGACTAGTATGAGTTGCACAAAGATTTACTTTACGACCGCATTAGTTCCGTCGTAGTTAATTTGGTATTGAAAACTCAACTGCACCTCTAGCGGGTAGTTTGGGAAACTAAGATATCCTCACAGACTCATCGACGTAGAAAACAGTTGTAATATAAATTACACTAATCATTCAGTTTAAACTATTTCGTTGTGCTAAATTAAATGTTCAAAATACACCCAAAAAAACTAATGTTTTTCGAGTATATTTTGCCGAAGAAAAGTGGGTAATCCCTCTTTTATATGGCAGTTGGATGACACTATTACAAATAAATTAATTTCAATTAAAAGAAACAACAACTCAATTACGTACTAAATAACATTAATCTAATTGAAGTATATACAAAATAAAGGACCTTGGAATTTATCTGAACTTTTTTACTGATTATTACGGTTCATTTGTGTGAACATATTGATAAAATAGTAAATAAAGCATATCAAATTAATGTTAACTTTGTACCAGAAACGCCTTCTTTGTCAATAATAAAATACGTATCTTTATAAATCTGTACTAATACATCATAACAATAATTATACACTATCAAGAACACACAATAAAATGTCGAAGTATATAGTACGCAAACTGTATTGTAATCATCGCAAGAAATGAATGAATGAAATTTTTTTTAAACACTTTACTGTCTACTTTTATTTTCTTCATTAAAAACTCCATAAATTAACCCTGCATGTATATATATGTATATATATATATATATATATATATATATATATATATATATATATATATATATATATATATATATATATATACTGTTAATTTTCGTACAAAAACTTAAAGTACAAAATTTTAATGCAATGAATCGTAAGTTTTATGGTACGTATACAGGTGAAAAAAAGAGCAAATATATAAAAAGTCGTATTTAAAAAGTTTTCCTTAACCGTAATATTTCTTTATTTACCTTAATCGTATTACTGAAAAGAATTTATCCTTAACTTTGATCCTATCGATACCAACTCAGTTACCTTTTGAAATCTGTGAATAAATTTAATCTTATTTATAGAACAAAATAGTGTATTCTTCAATAAAGACTGCAATAATCACTGTTTAATATACTTTTTTTCATTTCTCAACCTGTATATAAATATTATTTTACAGTTAAAGTTTAACTGTAAAATAATATTTAAAGAACTAAATAAAATAATGCATTTTCATTTATCAGATACTTTCCTTTAAGGGCTATGGTCAATCTTACTTTTCATTCAAATACAATCAATCGTTGAAAATTGATTAACTAACAAATATGGAAACATCTTTGCAATTTATACATTTTAAACTAATAATATTAGTAGAAGTAGGATATGGGTATTATATGTAAAAATAAATACAAAATATTGTCTGCTAAAAATCATTTTCATCCAAAACTAACTGTCGATATTGCTTAAACTAAACGATTATGTATTTCTACTTAAAATAATAGTAAAAGAAGGAGAGGTTGCAAGAGCAGGTTAAGAAACCTCCTTGAACTTATTAAAGCTTAGACACTTGTATTAAACTCTGAACAGGTTTATATCTGTGTCTATACCACGCTTCGTATAAAGTCTCCACACTACTCATAGATAAAGCATATTTATTTAGGTGGTAAATCCCTATGTCGATGATTAACTGCCAATAACTCCTTAAATACTTTATAAAATACACATAGAACATAGAAAGAATAGTAAAATCTTAAAACATATCTTATATTAATTATTTAGTATTTCAATAAATATTTTTTAAAATATTTCAGAAATATCTGTATACTCAACAAGGATTTGTAGTGACTAAATCCCTTGCGGAAATAGATAGTAAAAACCGAGTGCCAAAGACCTCTACCCTTACATACATGTCTTGCTTCCTACACTTTCAAAAATCATCTCTTGCATTCACGTCGATTCCGAAAATTCTTGACTCTTACTTCACACAGAATACAATCCATCTGATATACATCCACATTCGCATTGTATATCTGTTTTGACAATCTTTCATCTGACATTCTTTTGTCATGCCTACACCGCTGTAACATGCCCTTTCTCATTTTACCACCGACACTTTCTTTCAAACCAACTTGCTCAAGCAATACTGTATTACAAATGTGATATTCTATTTTCATTCTCTTTCTTACACACTTACCCAACTGTCGCTACCATACAACAAAGTGGGGACAACTATTGAATTGTACACGGCCAACTGCGCCTTTTGTCTTAAATTGTAGCTAACAACTATTTCAACTACAGTTTCCTTATCACCCCATTCATTCTATTCCCATCATTCACTCTTGTTTCTATATCAACGGTGCATTTCCCATTCTTATATCTTCAAAATATACAAACTCATCCACTTATTCCATAAACTATTAACTACCATAATCCAAGTAGTAACTGCAGATAATTCTGGAATTTTCTTACTAAAAATTCATTAATATTTAAGAAAACAAGTACTAATATTCCAAGAAAAACTCACTATTAGTGCACTAGTAGAGTACACCTACAACCGTAACATTGAAACATATGTCTCGCCTCATGATATGGTGAATATACATAGGTACTTATCCACTGGAACAGTTCTTGTTTTCAAATTTGGAATCTTGATGTGCTCTATTTCTCTTATATCGACCTAATGAACGTTTTTAAAACTGATTTAGATACCTATCAGTAATGCAATATACTATAAGATATAATAATAGCGCTAACAATATCAAAATAGCAATTATCTGATAATACTTGATACGTAATTTCAATGCGGCAATGTCTACTGATAAATCATTATCATATTGAAGCTTATCGCTGACATATTAATAGATACGCATTTCAAATATTACAATACACTACAATTAATTAATAAATATGTGTAATTACAGTTAAAAAATTCTTAAATACAATAAAAATATTTAAATACCGTTATAATTACCACAAGCTACTTCGAAAATAAAGTAAACTTAACCCAAATAATACAAACGGCCACGTAAATAATTTATGGGCCTGGTAACCCATCCAGTGAGACAAAATATTCAATAATATATATTTTTATATGCATGGCAATCACTATTTGTAGCTTCTATAAAGATTGTCAACTTAAGTTCTATTTATGTTTAGGATTTCATTATCAAAATAGCCAATGAAGTCTTTTAATAGTAATATTTGTTATAATTTTCTTTGGACTGATTTCAATTTACAATTAAATTAATTTAGAATAAATAAGGTGTTTTTTATTACAAAATTCAAATGATTTCTTCTACAATAAAAGTGTGATTTTGTTTTTTTATCCAAGTTAAAAAAATCTTTAAATTTTTTAGTTTCCAATTTTTATTAGCATATCAATACACTGAGCCAATCACTATTCTCTTTTATGTATAACAACATGAATATATTATAAATCAGCAAATAATTTTAGCCTCAAATTAATTAAACGTTTAATTATCTCATAGCTATAGCTGGTAAACAATCAGCTGAATTGGTCAGACGCGTGTTACCGCGGCCCTTCAGCTGCGACCTTGCGGCATTATATATAGATCGTCAGGCAATGTCGCCAACCTCGACAACAATACGTCGCCAGTGTTGAACACCGTCTGTTGAAATCATACAACCATCACATATCATCTTATCACAAAAATGATTCCGCGATTAGCTTATAATCACATCGCACACATTAATCGAGTATATACAAAGTGTAATACTGTTTTTGACGTGGTCTAACTCCGTGGTTCTGTTGCTATTTCGAGAATGTCATCCACGTCGTCTCCTGCTGGCAGAAAATGTTAGTGTATTATTAGTGACGCAGTTAGATTTCGTGTGTGCTGCTGGCTAATTTTGTTTTGTGGAGTACTAATGTGTTATGGAGTTCTGATAGTGATATAGGAAAAGGTTGCTGTTTAACAGTTGACGTCTTATCACAAGTCAGTGCAGTGTGTTGAGTGTACAATGCAAATACAATTTGTTCGACACGATTTAAAATAATGTAATATTAACATTACATTATGAATAATGTAATACGTGACTTTACCTGTCTGGTTTAGAATAAAAAGTGTCTATATGTTGTCTAGACATAGTTTGTCTGCATGCCAAATTTTATTCAAATTCCTTTAGCCGTTTAAACGTGATTGAATAACAATCATCCAGTCATCTTTACTAAACATATAAAGGTTTTTTTTTTATATATTAACAGTTACGAATAAATTTGATTTTTTGCTATAATTTTTTGCACTTAACTGCATGTAATTTTTTGACATAAAATACACAAAAGACCCTATTTGACCTCGAATTACTATCAATTCTTGCATGAAAATTATGTCGAAAAAGATTTTTGGGTATTCAAATTACAATAGAGACGATATTTTAACTAATAAAATATACTGTTTACGGCTTGTAACTACCTAATTATATATATAATATATTTGTATAGTTTAATATTTTAAGTAATAGTTTTCCATTAACCAATTACAACACAGACAAGGTTCTCAAAAATAACTACTTTTATATAACAGCTTTTATGACACCACAGTTAATAATTTTTGGCATTAGTGACTTGTTTAATTTACACATAATTTTAATTTAACTAGTGGTTTTTCATTAATAAATAATTTAAAAAAATGAGAGTCTCAATAATGACTACTTTTATATACCAGATTTTATGACACCACGATTAATAATTTCTATTAGTAGTGACTTATTTAGTTTAAATATAATTTAAATTTACCTAGTGGTTTTTCATTCATAAATTATAAAAAAAGATGGGATTCTCATAAATGACTTCTTTTATATAACAGCTTTTATGACACCATGGTTAATAATTTGTCATAGTAGTAACATGTTTAGTTTTCATATAATATTTTTTAACTAGTGGTTTCTCATTAACCATTTATAAAAAATACAAGATTCTCAGAAATTACTACTTTTATGTAACAGCTTTTATGACACCACGATTAATAATTTGTCATAGTAGTGACATGTTTAGTTTTCATATAATTTAAAATATTTTCATTGTCTGTTTTCGTACGTACGTAAGTACGTTATTACCACATCTATGGTTTGTCTCTATTCATGTCTGTGATATAACAGAACTCATTTATGGTTTATACTTAACTAGTTATATATCGCAGCTTCCCCCGTATTTGTATAGTGATGTTGAATATCCTTAATCCTTAATAATTACAAACATTATTTAGACTGAGACATGTCTTTTTTTAAAAAGCAATCAGAGTTTACATATCATGTTACAACTATTGGAAATAAAAGTCGAGTACGACGACCTTGGTAGTATAGCGTGTTAATACACTGTTTTCTCATTTTTCCATGTTTCCGGGTTCGATTTCTGCATAATACAAACATTTGTATTCACGAGTATCTCTATTTGTATTGGTCTAAATATTTTCTATATGTTTACAAAAAAAAATGCATATTGTTTGTATGTCTATTAGTTGTCAGTACCTATAGAACAAGCTCTATATAATTTGAGATTAATTTCAGAAAAGAGGAGGTTCTTAATCCCATAAAGCTCAATCAAAATCGGTTCAGTATTACTAAATCAAAATAAGTAGTTGTATCACATTTAATTATATATATACAACGATACACTCTTGACCAACTTTTTTATTCTAGTAGTGCTAAATACGTTACTGGAAACAGATCACTACGAGAGCTTGATCAAAGAGCTGACATGTACAAAGTGCAAAAAATATATGAAACCACCCATCTACCTATGTATAGACGGACACAGTATTTGCGGGCCATGTTTTGAGAAGAGTTACCAATGCCACGTTTGTAAGGTATGTAATGTACAAAAACTTTATTTTTTTATTCTACATTTTCAGTTTGGTGCCATGTTGAGTCGTTTTTATTTTGTAAAACAAAATCATATTAATTTTAATTTACAATAATTAATAATTTAAAATACACTAAACTATAAATTATTATAAATTCGACTAAATTACTTCATAAATCATTAAATAGGAGCGCTTATCCTTAACTACATAATTTTCTTTTGTCATAAAAATGCAAAATTTCCAAAATGACACCAAGCTAGATATTTATTTTTTTTGTCGTCAAATTGTCGAATAATTTTAAGTTTAAAGATCAATGCCTACACGAATTTCGCTAGCTTCTGATATATTATATGGATAAAAATATTAATTACTAATACCTACTTAATTATTTACATAATAAGAAAATAATGGTTTTTTTTAGAAAGAATACTCCCAAATCCGTCCAGCGGTTCTCGAGTCTCTTGCCAATAAGGTACTCTTTCCATGTACCAATAAAGGATGTCCAAAACACGCTACCCTCCCTCAGTTGGAGCAGCATACCCCACACTGCCAGTACCGTATCATAAATTGTTTTATGGCCAGGGTTTATGGTGAGTCTCAGTCTAAAAGTAATATTATTTTTAATTTAATTTGTATATTAATTTTTATATGACTTGAAACCCCTGACAAGATGTCGTTTTCGTTTTTTTTTTATGCAACTTCAAATGGCAAATAAGCTGATGGTCCACCTGATAGAAAGAGATAACCGTCTCCTATAAATATAAGCAATATCACGGACATAACAAAAGATACTATGTCGCCCATGATAACTTTCATGCATTGCCTTTCCTGAGGACTTAGACTTAGGCATGTGTACGATGACGACTTTTGTATAAAGTCCCTCTATGGTAAAATCATTCTGATCATCAATAATCTGATGGAAAATACATTACGACGTCTATAGAAATACTTAGTAATATTATTAGTAATTCTGGGCAGCGTTTGGGAAAGTACGCCAAATCTCATCTAAAATCCTTCGAAGTTCGAAGATGAATGTCTTTAACCAGTGCATGTTGCCAGTGACGAGTTACGAAACCGAAACATGGTTTTACAACTGTTGCCCGTATGCAAAAACTTCCAGTTGCACAACGAGCTATGGAGAAGGCTACGCTTGGAGTTTCTTTACGTGATAAAATCCAAAATTAAGATATCAAAAGAACCAAATTGACCGACACAGCCCGAAGGTTAGGCAAGCTGAAATGAAAATGGGCTGTTCACATAGCTCGTTCACAATCGATGGGGATGAAAGGTTCTTGAGTGGCAACTCTATACAGGCAAAAGCAGTGTAGAATTGCCTCAAATGCAGAATGCAAGTGTCTCAGGATCGTTTTTTATCAACAGTCTATGGGGAAGACCTATGTTTAGGCAATGAAACATTAATGGTTGATGTAATGATGAAACGACCTCGAACAAAGTCTCATACTGGTTGATAGTTAATGTTTATTTATGTGACAAAATTTTATTTTTGCTGCTGTCTAACCAAAATTTTACAAAAATTAATAAAGTTATTTACAATTAAAATTGTAAATAACTTTTTTTATTTAAGTAACTTCAAAATTATTTAAATGTATTATCATCGCTAATTCTGGGTATATTCTGATAATTATTTTTTGTTAACCATATGATTTATTATCTTTTTGGGCATATATTAATTTTGTCACGATTGATAAATCATTTGGGCAACACTGAACCCACAGGACGTGTATTCTATTCGCACTTTACCCAATATCTAAATAGCCTATGCTACAATACGAAAATGTCATATTCTCTGTATAATATTTTTGTATTATATCTTGATATCAATCAAAAATAAAGTCCAGACTATCGTTCCTCAGGCGAATGCACATGGGAAGGTCGAGCCGGGGAGTGGATGGACCACTGCTTCGCGGAGCATAAGAAAAGGGTCACTGAGCTGCCGTTCATCACCGTCAAAGACAAATGGGATGCCAAACGAACGGAGCCGGTGCTCAACTATTTTCTATTGAAATGCTATGACAAAGTGTTTAATGTTTATCAGATTTATGATAAAAGAGGAGGTAAGTTTATAATAACAATTACCATAACGACAAGTGTCTTACCATATAGTCTTTCCGCGCACATAACAAAATGAGAAAGACTCTGGCTATCGTCGTTTCTTCTTACCTCGTACACACAACAGCGAAAACAGATCTATTATATCTATCTGTGGAAACCATGAAATTAAAATCAAATACATTAATGCGAAATCACAGTTTTCACAGCTGTGAAATCCGCGTTTCACAACTGTGAAAACTGTGATGGCGTTTTTTATTCAACTTAGAATGGCTAACAAGCTGACGGCCCACCTGATGGTAAGTGGTAACCGTCGCCTACAGACATGAGCAGGACCGTGGACATAACAGAGTACACTGTTTCGCTCATGATAGCCCCCGTGCGTTGCCATTCTTGAGGACTCAGGTGTTATTTCTCTGTACCCTGTAAATTCACGCCATATCCCACCCTTCAAACCGAAACACAGCCATGAAAACACAACTGCTACATGGCAGAAACACGAATGGGACAAAGGTACCCAAGCAAATGACTTTTGTACAAAGTCTCCTTATGATAAAAAATACAATTAAAAACCTGCTTGTCTTAAAAAGTCGCTTCCGCGGAAGAGCTAACTGAATAATATCTCCTTAGAACACATGTTAGCCTGGTACCTTCTGCTTGGATTTATAAATTACTTTTTTTATTAAAACGGGAATTAAGCTTACGGCGTACCTGATGGAAAATATAATAGATATTGTCTATGGATATCTGGTGAGGGAGTTACATAAACTCTACCACTTTACCCTATTCTTCTCTTTCAAAGCCGAGAAAAAACCTTAATGTCCAAAGTTCATTGATCCAACAAGTTGCCCTGAGTTCTATTCTGTTCAATACAAATTATTGTTTTAATTTTTAATACCCGACCGTTAATAATAATGGTTATCTACGGTTGGATAAACAACATTAACATTATCATCTTTATCATATCAGTCGTTAACTGTGCTGCTGCTACTTAGAATAGCAAACAAACTGACGGTCCATCTGATGGAAAATAGTAACCGTCGCCTATAGACATGAGCAGTATCATGGATATAACAGTGTATACTACTTTTCCCATGATACCCCCCATGCGTTGCCATTTCTGAGGACTCAGGTGTTATTCCTCTGTACTCTGTAAATTAAATGCCATATTCCACCTTTCAAATCGAAACACAGCCATGTATACATAACAGCTTTACGGTAAAAACACGAATAGGATAGAAGTGTCCAAGCAAACGACTTTTGTACAATATCTCCCTCTGGTATAAATATTCCTTATTAAGAAATAAGCGTTCACGAAGCTGATATTATGTATGTATGTGTGTATGTGATTAGTATTTTATAACATGATAGGTTGACAGAAAGAGAATTCTATATAGCATTAAGTCCGCCTTTTGTACAAATCATTTTTTATAATGTGGTCAATAAAAAATAAATAAATAAATGCTACACTGTAATTAGTGTAAATGTTACTATAATCTATATATTCTCTCATTTAAACTAAAAATAAAAAAAAAGAAAATGTATGTAATAAGTAAGTAATGTATTATTATTTGTATTATGTAAGTAGATGCTCTATTTATATTAGCACATCTTCCAGAGTTTGTTTCTAAACCGCAAATTATGATGAAATCGTCATATTACTCTCTTCTATACAATATTATAAGCCATAAGCATTCCTTTATTAAGAAGACTTATATATGTAACAAACGTAATTTTGTACAAATTCGAAATAGCAATGCTTTGTATGTTAGTAAACTGAAAAAATACAGTGTACTCATATAAAATAAAATAAATATATGCATACACATATATTACATACAATGTGTTATAATGAAGAAACACGAGAAGTCATCATTAAATAGTCAAATTGTGGGGACCCATAAATTTTCGGAACTTTACTATCAATTTTTACATTCTATACCTCAAAGCAGTATTTGAAATAAAATTACGTACATTTAAATTACTAACGATCGGGCCCTGCTTCGAATGAGTAGACAGTTTTCGAAAGTAATATATAACTTATGTAATATATCTAATGGATAATGTAGCTTTCTATAGGCGAAAGAATTTTTAGAATCGCTTGAGTAGTTTTTGAATTAATTCATTAACAAACAAATGATTAAATCTTTCCTCTTTATAATATGTATTAGTACACATGTGACATCTTTGATCGAGAGCGCGTGAAAAACTTTTTAGTCATACCCATGAAAGACCTTGCTTCGTAGAGATATCTATAAGTAATATAGTATAAATAAAAAACATGAAAATTTATTTCAGGTAGAATGATGTGGACAGTACTGGTGAACGATGATCAAGCGGAGAAATTCTATTTTGAAGTAGACATTTTCCTAACGAACATGCCAAGCAAAAGGATTATTTACAGGCAAGTGTTTACTTAATAAACAAACGAAATCTTAATAAGCTCCCGGACGTAAAACCAGAAATGAACCAGCCGAATTTATAGCACGATCTTCCTCTTGTAAATGATATCATATCGTTTACAAAGTTTGCCGAAATTTATATTCATTTCCACAGGGAGAAATATAAATTGTGATAATTTTGTAAAAAAAATAGACATCGTTGTGCGTCGTTCGTGTAATTTCGTATTTCCAGATAACTGTACTTATGACTTCTTTTTTCCTTATACATTCTGTATGTTTGAAGTGATTTACAAATTATGAAATATTCAATTTATACGTGATATTAAAAATTAAAACAGATCACTAAAATTACAAAAAAAATTGCAACTTTCCTTCTTTTTTGTTATAAAATGCACGATTTTAGAATTCTCAAAGCAAACTGAGGTCCCATAGAGTTTATGAAATCTCAAACTAGAGTAAATATGAGTACATTGCTCTGTACAAATGAAAATACTGTGCAAGATTCTGAAACATTCTCATGAACATGAATTCTTGTTAAACTAATTACTCAAAAAGTTTCTAAATTGTCTATTGCTTTACACAAATTGTTTTAACCATTATTAATGTTTACCGTAATCCTTTATTTTTAAAGGATTAATATATTTTATACAAACATTTTTTCCAGTACTACAATTTTATTATGCACTTTTAATCCTCTATATTCTCTTTTTACTATTTTTTAATGCACTATAAAACATTATCTTGGAGTTTGAAATTGTTATTCTGTTGCACATAAATTCTATTACATATACTGCAGATTCTAATATAAATTCCATTTCATTTTATATTAAAAAGTAGAATTAAAATTAGTATTAACACTATATATACCACAATTTATAAATTAAATATATACCTATCTAATAATAATTACAAACAAATTGCAGACGCCCATGCAAATGTGAAAAAGACGCTGATTTTCTAGAGCACACCCAAAACATTTACATTCCAGTTGAAAATGTTTTTTCTATGCTGGACGAAGGCGAGTGTATGAATTTTACAGTCAGAATTGGTGAGTATTTAAAACAAATATTTACTAATATGTCATGTGGTCCCGGTATAGAATGGACTACTCCTTCCTTTACTGTGAGTGTTGTAAGAGGCAAATAAGGGAACCTAATAGTCAAGGGTTGGATAGCAGCATCCCTCTTAAAACATTACTAAAGCCAAACTGCAGTTGCCTACTCGTCTGCCAAGCATAGTAACTACTGGCAAAACCTTCCTTATGGCAAAGATGTTCAGTGATGGACAGTTAATGGCTAGTATGATGATTATTTACTAATATATCTATGTTTTATTATCATTACAATGCTATAAAATTTTGATTATATTAAAGTGAAATATATTAGGATCTTTATGCATCTTCTCTCATTTACTTTTTTATTTATTTAATTATTTTATTCTGTCTCCGAAATAATAAGTAATAATTTATTCATGGCCTCAGAAACATTAAGATATATATTAGTTCTATAAAAAATAAACATCTTTTATTTTACTAAACTAGGTGCTATTAAATAAACATCTTTAAATGAATTCATTAATTTTAAAGTAATAATGAAAAGAATTTTTTTATATGAATCTACAATGCAATAGAAAGTCTCTTAATATGATTGAGAAGAAATAAATAAACCCATATCTTAATTATTTTTTTTTATTTTCAGGGGAAGTCGAAAATTTAGAGCTGCTGGAAACACCTACGGAGAGTGAAAGTATGATTTTGCTGAACAGCAATGAAGTTCCAAATGAGAATGAAACTCATTAAACTTTCAAACAGTTATGAATAATACAGAAAATAAATAATTACGTTTAAATTAAATATCTATAATTTAAATTAATTGTATAAAATAAATATTAAAAAAGGAAAAGTTTGTAAAAATATACGGAAATTTATTAATCATCTTTAGTTGGAATGAATTTGAGTCAATTTGGCAAACTGGTATAGTCGCGGATTACAACTAGTGAAATGCTCATAACTATAGCAACCTAATATTTATACCCATTCTAAATGAAATATCCCTACTATCTCGGTATACAAATTCGTTCCTAAATTACCTGCATCCATCAAATCCAGTTCGAATAACATTTTTGTAGCCATCACTCTACCTCATGATTGTCACAATTGTTAATAGTTTTTCGACTAGAATTATTTTGTTTAAATTAAATTTATTTTAACAAAATTATAATAAATAACCAGTGATATGGGCCTTTTTTTAATCTCCGCAAGATAATACCTAGTTCAATAAAATATTCATAATTATTAGCTTATTTGTATTTTGTTTTTAATTTAAAGTCTCAATAAGATGGAAAATATTTTTATAAGTATATGACATAATTAATGTGTTTTGTACTTCCAATAAATTATATTTAATAAAGAATTATATTAGTTTTTACTCAACGGAATAAAGATTCAATTAGGTAGTATATAGAGAGAGTATCCTCATACAAATGCTTCACTAAAACAGTCAACTTTTTTGTTCATACTACATAAAAAGGTTTACTGTGTAATTACATTTATTATTAATCATTTATATGGGGAAAACAATATTATAGAGTTTAATGTTATTTATTTATTTATGTAAAAAATGGGCGCTATAGGATTAAATTTAAAAAAATAATTTTTTTATATAACTGGCAATGGCTACTATGTTGATCAATACAGGTATAGTAATTAGTAAGCAATTTATACATTTGTATGTCTGTCTAATTTAAAAATTTCGACCTAATCTAGGGATTTTATAATCTAATTACTTGTAACATTGAAAAAAGTGCGTTTGTTTAGATTCAAATAAAAACATGTCTCAGCCAATTTGACATTTCGTTCATTAAACTTGTCTCATTTTTAAGCCTTGATGCTTTGTCTATATAATCGATGATTACATAATATATAGACATTTATATTTCATTAAAATATAAATGTTGTTCAATACTTATTTTAAATTTAAATTTAATTAAATATAAATGTCCAAAAATATTATTTGACGGTCAAACCTCTTTAAAGTCATTAAGTTGAATTTTGTTTTTTAGTCCAAGTAACTTTCTAAGTTAATTTATTCTATACATAGATATATGGCGAACATAAAAAAAAATGTGGCGAATATTAAAAGGAAACATGATTGATTGACAGACTCAATCTTCTTATGTAATATTGTAACAATTCTTTAATTTCAGGTTACATAATAAAGTGAGTTTTTTTTTCTGTTTCTTATACAACAAGTACTTAATAAAATAAATATAGTAGTAATCCGGTAGAACTTAAGTACCTATTTCCTGGCGCCTTGACATTTCAAAGGATCTTTACAAAATTTTAAAATCATTCATATTATTTGAAATGGAAGCAGAACATGGATTATTTATTTCTTATCTCGATCACTCTGATAAAATCGTGGGCACGACCGGTTTTATACATTCAACAAATATATATACAAAACGGGAGGATTTTTTCTTGAAACACAGTCCTGTACATAAAAGTAAATAATGTAAGGCTATCATAAATTCAACAATACTGAGTTGTAAGACGTCGCATTATATTTTTATGTGTACCGTCCTAATATGGGTATGATATGACAGGACAACAGAATACAAAAGACGCAATACTAGCTGCAACCCGCAGCTTCTCTTTGTATATTAAATAAAAATCTTTGTGTATTTAATAAAAATATCTATTTGTACTAAATTTCATTTAAATTATTTCAACTATTTAATACTGATTGAGTTTATGCAACTATGTATTTTCTAAAAGTGTTTTTTATTCAATCTAAAATGGCAAATAAACTTACAGCTCAACTAATGGTTAGTGGTGACCTACGCTTAAACACATGAACAGCACCATAGATATCATAAAATACACAGTATCGCTTATACTACAACTCATGCTTTCTCTGTTCTAGAGACTAAGATGTTACTATAACGTTCCCTATAATTTTACTGCCATATCTTACCCTTCAGACCGAAGCCATAAAGCATAACTGGGTAATTTTCGACAAATGCGATTTTCGCCAAATTTCGGAGAACATTTATGGTTTCTAGTTTTTGGATGACATCAGCTTTTTTGGGGGACCTAAATTCAAAGTCCAGTTGAAAAATTCATTGAAACAGTTCCCTAAGTTGCACTTGCTGAAAAATACCCAGCTGTATCACGTCAAAAACACAAGCTGGACAGAAATATGCAGACAATTTTTTTATAAGTTTCCCTAAGATTAAAATTTATCATCGATCGATCATCGATCAGTATTATTATATACTAATATGGGAACGTTCATTCCTGTAAACCTAGAGAGAGTCAAATATTTTTAACTGAATTTTAGAAAGATGCCGAGGAAAAACTTAATTTCAACATTAAATAAAAAAAAAAATCTCATCGGTAACTCGATTAAATAGTGTCTACTTGTAGATAAGTTAATAACATTAAGCAACTTAGTTTTTGCTTGATCTTTTTATAAAATAATCACGAGTACCGTCTTATTTATTTCATGTTAAAATGAGATAAAATTAAATTAAAAAATAATTAAGACATAAATTAAGTTAATTTCTTTAAAATTGCTGTTTTAAGTTTTTAAATGTCGTAACATAAATTCTTTTTTTTTTTAATTCTTACATTTAAATCTTTAATTTAGGGGATCTAAATGAATTGCAAATATAAAAAAATAATCATTATGTTTTAAAAATTTATGGTTGGAAAACACAAAGTAAGAATCGCAGGAACTATTCTTGATCTATGGTTATAAGTGCCTATTTTTTTAATGTCTTTTGACTCTTATTATAAAACCGATAAAAAAGAATGCCAGTATTAACCTTTATCTATGGATTTTATAAACATTGGATTTGATTATGCATATCAGTGTCTAAAAATTGCTTTATATTTCTTTTAAAAATTCATCGTGATGAAATATTTCTCATAATTAAAATCAACTTTTAACCAAATACAGTTTATAAATAGATACAAAATTTCTTTTAAAAAAAATACGACCAACTCTATTAATCCCGGATATAGAAGATAACATAGTTATTTCCAACAAAAACTATATATGAGTAGTTGACTTGATAACCTTATTTTTTGCTATATATTTAATTGCTATATGCATCTAATAATACGGAAACTTAATTAGTATTTTTTATGCAACTTTAAGCGGTAAACAAACTGGTGGCTTATATGAAAAATAGTGATCGTTGTAATACAAACATCACAGAATATACCGTGATACACATGATACTCTCTCATCCGTTATCAATCTTAAGAAATAAGATGAACGAAGTCGCTACCAAGACAAATAGATATTTATTTAGACAACTACATACGTCCGCCCCACCATTCGGGGTGATTAGTATTTTACTATTAACAAAAATATTTAAATATTTCATTAGAATTATGTTTCGTTGATAACTTAAACTGCATATATAATATAATTAATTGTTCTCTTTGAGCCTAGCATCTATTTCAAACAGATCAATAGGTAACATATAATAATATTTTATTTAAATTAATAAACAAATATAGGTTTATTGATCAATTTATTTTTGGCTTTTTAGTAATTTTTTTTTTGTTTTTATTTCATCTTTTTTTTAAACTGGTTTAATTTTTGTTATAATTTCTCATGTATTACCTACAATAATTTTAAACTTGTACGTACCTGGTTGCTACTTATAAGTTTTCGCTAAAAACAAACGTTACAGTCGATTGAAAAATCCCCAACAAAACTCGGAACAGTACGTATAAACGTTCATAATCCGAGATACGAGTTCGTTTTGTACCTTGAAGTAAGCGAAGCGAGAATTTTTCCATGAAATAAAAATATATTGGTGGTGCAATCGATCTCCCACACAAACCATTAAACTTTAAGCGTGCCGATAGAAAATATCGGAAACAGCAACTGGGACAAAGCGTAATATTCCTTTGAAAACTACTCGCTCAGACTTCATTTGTGTACCTCTCAAGTTTTATTTGAATTTTCCCCGTTTGATAACTGCGGTTGCTTTACCATAAATGTTTGCATGAAGTAGTTCTTATTTGGTCATTAGAGAAAAGTTTTAATAAATATACCAAACAAGTGGACTTAACATAAGTACGTTTTGCTCCACAAAAAAATCACTTCTTTATATAATAAAATTGGTTTTCTAATAAACTAATAATAAATAAATAAATAAATAAAGGTAAAGCCTATCACCTATACATAGTATTCCAAAAATCGACTCACTGTTGATGATATAAACATCATAAAAAAAAAATATTAGGAAACGTTTAACTGCGTTTTTAAACGTTTCCTAATATTTTTTTTTGTTAATTATTTTTTTCTTTCGCTTTTTAGACCATTTATGGCCACCATTCATATTGTTGACGAACGAATAGCTTAGCGCTCTCTCAAATAATATATTTCTATATCGACGTTCCTTTTATTAAAATTCCTGAATCCATCTTGGCTACACGATGCGTCACAGTTCTGGTTGTCATTGTACACATATCATATTTAAATATCCAGGTAAGTAAATATGACCTTTGGAACTGGGAAAAGAATGTAATATGAATATAAATCATTTATATTTAAAAAAAAATCATTCTCAAACTTTATTGCAATGGCATTCTTTTATTGTTATAAAAGATACTTGATGACGTTATAAAAGAATTGAAATTTGAATAGAAATTTGAACGCAAAAAGACTGAAATGCCGTAAATAAATCTGTATTGTGTAGAAAATTACTCTATGATGAAAATTTGCAAGCGGACGCTAAAGTAATAAATTTCATGCTCTCGTAATTCAGGGAAATGATTTACAACATGATTTTCAACGACATAAAAACGGTTTTTGCAAAACATGCCAATTAAAATAATATGTTATACGGATTAATTACTGGAAATATTATTCTTTAATATGTGACTTTATACATAATGTCTACTTATTTATTTATTAAGGAAATTGTGTTATGACATTAAATAAACGTAAGAATTTATGGAATTCATATTGAATATAAACGTTCATTTAATTGTCATGAGACAGTTAATATCTGGAGTTCTGCACTCGAAATATTCAGATCCGAGTTAATTGATAAAAATTCCTTATCTAAACTAACTGAATCGAGAACCAAATTCGGAAACTTTTTACTCTCTAGTAATATGTATCAATGATCTAACATTTCATTAGATAGATTGTCAAATTTAATGGAGGATGGATGAATGTCAGAGTAGTATCATAAATATCACCAAAT